AGGTCCTCTCTCAAGTCAAACTAATACACACCATCTGTAGGCTACTCTTCCTCTCGAAGGTCTCCTCCGTCGCCAGGTCGGTATCGCAGTTAGATAGCCTCCTGCCTGCCTGTTTCGATTTTCGACTAACGAGCGCNNAGGCCTGTATTCGCGCAAACAGCATTCGCCGTGCGCTGGACCGCCTCTCCCCCCTGCAGAGGTTGGCCAAGACGCTGGATGACTCGACTGACTACCTGATCATACCACAGTGCTGTCGCCTGGCCTGGCGCAACACTCTCGCCGGCTGTTGGTCAGCGGCCTTTGACCTTGATGGACTGGCCAATAGATGCGTGGTTGAATTGTCTGCCGACGCACGCCAAGGTCAAATCGAGAAGGGTCTGACTCAGGGCTTATCCGCATTGTGTGAGCTAGTGCTTTCTTAAATCACCTTTTAGCTCATTAGTAACTTGCGAAAATCTTTCCAAATCTCACAGATGTTCAGTCTCGGTTTTTATACTCAGCCCTCTTCGTTTGCTTTTGTACCGTTAATTATACTTGCAGTCAGGTTATACTCTTTGCCAATGTCCAGTTCTTAGGATGGCCTGACGAACTGGTTCACAATTTTGTATCATTCGAGTAAGCGAATCAAGAACGTCAATGCAGTTTGTTCTCTGGGGTAGACCGAGGGGACAGGCCGGCCACAAAACTGATCATTGAGAAGAAGATGACTCGATCGCTGAGACAATACTTTTATTCGCCTGACGTCTCGAGATCCGTCGTGGATTCGTCATCAGAGACATACTCAGATAGCGGTAACAGATACGAGTCTCGAAACGTCGGGCGAATAAAAGTATTGTCCCAGTGATTGAGTCATCTTCTCCTCAATCACTTTCTGGTACTCGTTTGTTCGCTTGTATTGGCAATTTGATCATTATCCGCAACTGCATGCCACACAACTGCTTACAAACACAGACAGGCACAAGTTTTTGAAATGCAGCCTAAACTTAGTGGGTTAATAGAACCGTAAAAACGGGTGTCAGTATCTTAGTCTATTAAAGGTCTGTTAGACGCCAACTCCCCACTGCAGGTGCCGAAAAGCTAGGCGGTCACCAGGCGGTGGGGGAGAGAGTTAGGTCGACTCTCGGCGCCTTTTCTCCTCACTATAATAAATCTGAATGCGCCT